ATATCGATTTTTGTCGAAGCAAACGATAATGGCGATTACTACGCAGCCTTATTGGACCGTTCCAACAATATTTTAAAAAAAAAAAAAAACGTCTCCATTTGGCGAAGAAGAAAGTGCTCTTCCATCAAGACAATGCACAGATTCACATGTGCCCGGCACCGATGGCAAATTCAACGAATTCCACTACGAATTGCTTCTCCATCCAGCATATTCGTCAGAAAGAGATTCACCACCAGAGAGCAGCTCATCGCCGAAACAGAGGCTTATTTTAAAGGATTGGACAAATCATATTGTTCGGACGGCTTGAAAAAGTTGGATAATCATTGGATCAAGTGTATCGAGCTGAAAGGAGAGTATGTTGAGAAATAAAAATGAATCGATTAAAAAAAATATGTTTTACTATGTTTTTTCTAAAAACTTATTGACTTGCCCTCGTACCACAGCAATATCTTACGCAGCCTATTATACACGCAGTCAATTTTCGTACAACAAATTTGTCGCAATAAAGCTAAGTCAAATCCTAAGAACTTGATATTATTTGTTCGTGCAAACACGTGTCTATGGATTATTTCGTGAGTATAAGTTGCAAAACTTTCGTATCAAGCAAATGTTGTCATGTCTTGATAGCTTGAGACGCCATGTTATCCTAACAAGAGAACGAGCAAAGTATTTTTCCTCGATTGCTCTGAATTTTTGCCAGTAGGGCATTGAAAAAGAAATCAACACGTATTTTGCTCAGACAGTTTAAGAGACATTAAGCTATGAAATTAGTCGGACTCTTAAAACTCTAGATCGCCAATAATCAAATCTCAGTAGTGACAATCTTTTTTTTACTTTTTTTAAACTTTTTAAAATTTTTGTATATAAAAATATGTCTTTCACGTCATTTTTAATCAGAAGAATTAATTTTAAAGGACTTTTCATCCAAAAACAACTTATATATTAATTCTGTTAATGTGTCACTTTCTAATGTTTCTAAATGTTTCTAAATTTTTCTAAAATGTTTATAAATATTTTTAAACTTTCTAAATGCTTATTATAAAGCATACGGGGATCCTAAAGTTTTTTGTACTACCGACTAGTCACAATTTTTGTATAGCAATTACTTTTTTTCTCTTTTACGGATTCGAAAATCTTTTTCCAGAATTGAAGTATACGCATTAATACGTGTCTAAAAGTGGAATTTATGCTGAGAATAACAAAAAATTTTTCTTGAGATTTCAATTTCGAAATTGTTTGTTCTCGTTCTCGAAATAAATTCCATCTCACACAGACACGTATTAATGTGTATACTTTAATCCTGAAAAACAATTTTCGAATCTGTAAAAGAGGAAAAAAGTAAATCCTTGCAAAGCACGTAATTTCGTTTTTCGAGAATTCACAAACTCAGTATTGTTCGTTCAAGTAATCTGAATCCCACGCTTATTTTCACTCTACAAGCTGTAAAACTCTTAAATCAAGCAAATGTTAACCTCAAGTGACAATTGTACGTATCAGAAAAAATAAATTATTATGTTTTCCGGGATTTTTTTATGCGTTTTTTTTAATTCTGTAGAAAAAATTTGCAATCCGTGAAGTCAATTCGGAGATTTCTCCAAAAAGGTAATCATGATAAAACAGGATGACTTTAGGATCCTCTTAAGAGTGTAGATCAATTTTATAGTTTAATATCTCTTAAACTATCTG